GAAAAACATCGATGAAAACATCGATGCATGATTTTAAATTTTTTGGAAACATCTGTAGCAACCATCGATGTTTTTTCCGCGACACTAAAGTAAAGGAAACGCAGAAGGTGTGTAAAATATATTTATAAATTGAACTATTTACTGTATTTAGATGTTTTCAGATATTCAATTGGTGGTGTAGGCAACGTCGGTGGATGTGTGGCAATGGAAAACTTCCTAAACCGTAAGTATTCATAGAAGTAATACACATGACAACTTTGAGCCACTTATACCTTTTGCAAATGTTAGGAACAACTAAGGAAAATTGCGAGTCTCTGGCTCCTGCTACGAAGAGGAAGCGCGAGACCTCGGACGTGTGGCAGCATTTCAAGAAAACGGCCGATAATAATAAAGCAGTATGCATTTACTGCGGAAAATGCTTAAGACAGGTGGAAACACTACCAACTTGTGGGACCATGTACAGAGGATTCATCCAAAGAAAGCAACAACAGACAAAGTTTCTGAACCAACGAAGTTGGATGCGTTTGTGTTGCGAAGTGTCGAGTATGTTTATGTTTATCAATAAGAACCAAACCATTTTTTGTTTAACTTATAGAAAAAGTTTTGAGTTTTTTTTGCTTTTACGAATAAAGCTTTTAATTTTGTTATGAAATGAACCAAATCTTTTCAATTAAATCAATTTAATTTTTTTTAAATTGAATTTAGAGCAAAAAAAAAATTGTTTCTATTTATTTAAAACATCGATGTTTCATCGATGTTTTTTTTGAAAACATCGAAAAACATCGATGTCCAGGAACATCGATGTTTCTCCACCTCTACCCTGCAGTACCAGAAGTGAGCGATGACAAATGTCAACTACGCGTCATTCAGGATTTTTTCTCTGCCGCTGCGGCAGACGAGTAGAATATGACGTCGACGTCGCGATCGACGCGTCGGTCAGACCAAACTCTTTTTTATCTTTGTTTCTTTCTGTTACGCGTGCCGTAACAGAATTCGGTTTTGCCGTTGGCGTCGACAACGTTGTTAGAATTGTGCGGTGAAAAGTGAGACGCAGGTTTCGTTTATTTTGGGCAAAATTATTATCAGGTAAGTGCAGTGTTTCATTTATTTAAAAATAGTCTATTGTTCGTTGTAAAAAATGAAGAAAATGTGATGTTGCGAAATTAAATACGTTTTGGTCGAATTTTTCGTTTCCAACAATGAAAACAGAAAAAAAACCACCCGAGTAGATCCTGCGAGTCTTGGGTCGAACAGGTACAAATCTTGGCGAGTGTTTTGTTTTTGGCGCAAATGCACTGCTGATCTACTGAGAGCATTGTTAACAAATTGAAAAATATTTTAATTAACCCATCTTTTTTTAAAGGCGATTCAGTTGAAGTGCCCGGAATGACCACGACGACATTACGAACATGAGCAAATCAAAACTAAAAAGGTTCTGTGGAAAAAAGAACACACAGCACAAAAATGTGAATATGTATACGTTTTTATAAGAAAACAATAAATAAAAGAAATATAATATTTTAAAACAGAATTTACCCATGCCTTTTTCCTCAAAATATCAAAATTTTTTACTTAAATACATCACTTATTAGGGCCTTACTCTTTAAGGGAAATTCATCGCTTATTAAGGCCTTACATTTCAAGGGAAATCCATCGCTTATTAAGGCCTTACTTTTTAAGGGAAATTCATCGCTTATTAAGGCCTGACTTTCGGCACTAACCATACAGTATATAGATGTGCCAGTTCATACAACGAAAGGGGCGCAGCTGAGTTTGCAGCGTACGTTCCCAGATCTTCGGCTTTGGGAATGGCCGCGTTGGGCTCATGACGTCACACGAGCCGACTGGCAGCAAGCATGCATGTGTTGTGTACGTGTACACTCCAAAATATATGATTGTGTGCATAGAATAATTTTTAGCTGCCGAAACCGACTTTGTTCGAGATTTCAGTTTACGTAAACGTGTGTGTGCCATGTATTCACACATACTGTGCTTGTGTGTGGGCTCTACAATTTTTTGCCGCTTGAATTGGTTTTTCGTTTTGTTTTGAGGGCTGATGTGATGTAGCGACCAGAGAACTGCAAAAATCACATATTTCTTGATTTACTCATGAGCTAAAGTTTTTGCTCACATGCAATCGTTCAAAAATACTCAGCGTTGAATAAACTCAACTTGCGCTGTCAGACGCTTCGTTCGGATCACTTTCTTGCTTAGGGTGTTTCTTTGTGTACTCATATATAATCACTCAAAAATACTCAGTGTTGAATAAACTCAGCTTGTGCTGGCAATCGCCTCGTTCGCATCAATTCTTACTCACTCACACAAATCTCAGCTTCGTGTACAATACAATCATATCCAACATGTATGTGAAAACGTTTACACGCATACATGCAAAGTCGACGCAGACGGATTTGGCCCGAAGAGCCGAGCGGTGAAAATTTCCAGCCGACGAGGTCTTCGGGCTCTCTCTCGCAAAAAATTCCTTTGGAATGTCTTGTTTTCAGTTGGGAAACTCAGCTCATTCACACTCACACAAATCTCAGCTTCGTGTACAATACAATCATATCCAACATGTTTGTGAAAAGGCTTACACGCATACATGCAAAATCGCATACGAGCATTGCGTTTTCTAATCAATCCAATAATCCAGACACTCAATTTTGTTTCCCTTATTTGCTACAAAAATCCTTACTACATGGAAAACACATGCCGATGAAATAGAAAAATATTGTAAAGAAAATGTGGAAATAACCGATGAATTTGATGTTTTAAAATGGTGGAAAATTAATGAACAAGTATATCCAAATCTCTCAAAATTGGCCCTTAAGGTTCATTCAATCCCAGCAAGTAGTGCAGCAGCAGAACGAGAATTTTCCTTAGCTGGGAATATAATAACGGAGAAAAGAAACCGTCTTGGCCCAAAATCCATAGATAGCCTTATATTCCTGTACTCTTACTATAAAAATTTTAAACTTTAACTGCTTAAATCAAAAGATAATTATAAAAAATTGTTCCTTATTTTACTTCTAAGAAAATATAAAAATAAATATTTCGTTACTCATTTCATTTGATTTATATTTTGCATTTCTTTTTCCACCACTGTCAGCAGCAATAGAATAACATTATTTCGTCGTTTTACGCATACAAAAGCAATTAGATACATTGTGCATGTATGTGTTCCGACCGTTCCTTCACTTGAATAAAATCATACGAGCTGAGTTTACTCATTTGCGTCTTTGCTTATAATCGTATTGGCTCATTGCTGAGCCGAAGTAACAGACACCCGAAACACCCGAAAAACGAACGAGCATGAATAAACTCAGCCAGAATAAAAGAAGGCAAAGCTTGAGTGATTTAAAATCATCTGGAAATATGTGCGCATGCAAGTGTGTATCCGTCAACGCCGAGTCAGTTTAATCGGGTGATTTTTTTGTGTAAGCTTATTTGCAATCACCCAATGCCGTTCTCTGGTAGCGACCTATTCAGGGCCGGATCAACCCTCAACCGGGCCCTGGGCAACCATCAGTCTGGGGCCCTCCTTTATTTTGTATTTTTCTCAGTGGCTATTATATATTTTATTCATTATTTGGAGTTTTGTTTTTTCAACAAAATTTGTGTGTTATTTCTAGGAGGGCCCTAGGCAACTGCTAATCCGGCCTTGAACCTATTCCCTATTCTTCGCCTTTTGAAGAAATAGTGTAATGCAATAGTGTGACCGTAGTGCAGGCCAGGAGCAGTAGACTGGCTGCTGTTCAGCCTGATTAGCAAGAAGGAAGTGCGGCCGCCCATCGCAATAGATCCCAAGACCGACTCAGGATGGCTGAACCGCATCAGAGGGTTGCCCCATCGAGAATCCACTTTTAGGTCGGATAATAAGTGGAAGTACTAGGGCGTGTGTCCAATCCAATACGCGATCCACCGGGTGCTCGAACTTTGTCTTGATTTTGTTATTTTGGTATTGGTTTGAACTACAATAGATTGGCATTTTTATGCTAATAAACTGCCCCCAATGTACGAAATATGCAGTGTACAGAGCATAGCACACATAGTACACAAGCCATGTAGCATGTACAGCATATGTAGCATATGCTGTATATATACTTATAAGTACTACTTATACTCCTTTTTATTATTTTCTTTTCAGATATGGATCCAAACAGGAAGAAGGGACAAGGCGCTATGGGAGCCCGAGATTTTCGGCGCGCCTTTATGCAGAGTGTGTCAACTAGTATGTCACGGGCGCACGCCAGTCAGCAGGAGTTGCTCCTGGCCATGGCCGAGGTCGTGGAGGACGCCGGGCCCCGTACGTGCCGCAGGACCTGGTGCCGCAGGACCTGGTGCCGCAGAACCTGGTTCCGCAGAACCTGGTGCCGCAGGACCGCAGGAAGTCAATATCGTCAATCTGATCGATTTCGACGGCGAAGGAGAAATTGTGGTCGTGGAGAGCGACGGAGAGCAAAAATGACTTATAAAAATAAAAAAAAAATATAAAACTAAACCTTGTATATTGTTATACCCGTACTCAAAAAAGAGTTAAGGGGTATATTAGATTTGTGGTAAAAGTGGATGTGTGTAACGCAGAGAAGGAAGCGTTTCCGACCCCATAAAGTATATATATTCTTGATCAGCATCAATAGCCGAGTCGATAGAGCCATGTCTGTCTGTCCGTCTGTCCGTCTGACCGTCTGTCCGTCTGTCTGTCTGTCCGTCTTGTTGAGCGCCTAGATCTCAGAGACTATAAGAGCTAGGGCAGCGAAATTTGGTTTCCACACTCATGTGATATCACACTGCTACAAGTGTATTTCAAAATTTCGCCCCGCCCCCTTCCGCCCACACAAAGGACGAAAATCTGTGGCAGGCACATTTTTAAAGAAACGATAAAACTAAAAACGCAGTATCGTAGAGAATGCCCATATCTACCAGATTGCCGAATCTAAATCAGATCGGATCATAATTATAGCCAGAATGAAGAAATTAATTTTCAGTTGCTTCCCCTGTCCCCCCTCCAGCAAACGACAACACAACTCATTTTCCTTCTCGCTCGCACACTCTGCCGCGTTCAGTGCGCGATCAACCCCTAGCGGAGGAGATGTAGAATCTAAATGGAACATGTACATTGTACAATCTACATGTTAGATGTAGAATATACATTGTAGATGTAGATATCAGATGTAGCAAAAAAATGTAAAATGTAAAATTTTTTTTTTTCTAAAATTCTTAAAAATCATAAGCTCAAAAATGTATATACTGACTGAGTACGGGTATAAGTAGAGTCGCGTCCCCAGAAGCGACTCGCACGTTCCTTCTCGTTTTTATTTATAATTTTTAAAATATAGCGCACATATGTATGTGTGTATATGTATATGTATATTTTTACCGTTACGGCATGTATGTACATATGCATTTTCGTCGAAAATATACTGAATACAATACTGAAAATATATATATATGGAAAATATACTGAAAAATGAAGAACACAGAATACGGGAAATATTATTATTATTATTATACAATTATTATTATTATTATTCAATTATTATTAATTCATTTCTAGCAATTTCAGGGTATTCGAGCGCTGGTAGCGGCGTCGTGCGTGGTTGCATTCCCGGCGTGCCTCGGCAATGCTCTCGTTCCACCAGAACACTGGTTGGTGGTGGCGCCCTTTTGGAATTCTTTGCGCTAGATGGATGGCTGTGCAACGTACTCTGCTGAGCCAACCCGAAAAGTCTCAAAAGATTGTGGCTGCCTGTTGTTCGCTGCACAACTTCTTAATGCGCACATGTCCCAAAACATATGCCATTAATGAAGATTCATTAATTCAGGCGCACACTGTATTGGCCGATCTCTGGCCCTGTTGCCGCGGTCGCCCTCCGGACTACAGCAAGGCAATAAGAAATAATTTAAAAAATTATGTCAACAGCCCTGCCGGGTCGGTTTCTTGGCAACATGAATCTGCTGGCGTTCAAAACATTATAAATTAGGAATGTTAATTTTTATACCCGTACTCAAAAAAGAGTTAGGGGATATATTAGATTTGTGGTAAAAGTGGATGTGTGCAACGCAGAGAAGGGAACGTTTCCGACCCCATAAAGTATATATATTCTTGATCAGCATCAATAGCCGAGTCGATATAGCCATGTCCGTCTGTCCGTCTTGATGAGCGCCTAGATCTCAGAGACTATAACAGCTAGAGAAACCAAATTTGGTTTCCAGACTCATGTGATATCACACTGCTACAAGTGTATTTCAAAATTTCGCCTCGCCCCCTTCCGCCTGCAAAAAGAACGAAAATCTGTGGCAGGCACATTTTCAAAGATACGACGAGAAGGAACGTGTGAGTCGCTTCTGGGGACGCGACTCTACTTATACCCGTACTCAGTCAGTATATACATTTTTGAGATTATAATTTTTTTGAATTTTAGAAAAAAAAAAAATTTTACATTTTTTTGCTACATATGATATCTACATCTACAATGTCTATTCTACATCTAACATGTAGTTTGTACAAGTACCATTTAGATTCTACATCTCCTCCGCTAGGGGTTGCTCGCGCACTGAACGCGGCAGAATGTGCGAGCGAGAAGGAAAATGAGATGCGTTGTCGTGGGCGGGAGGGGGAGGGGAAGCAACTGAAAATTAATTTCTTCATTCTGGCTATAATTATGATCCGATCTGATTCAGATTCGGCAATCTGGTAGATATGGGCATTTTCTACGATACTGCGTTTTTAGTTTTATCGTATCTTTAAAATTGTGCCTGCCACAGATTTTTGTCCTTTGTGTGGGCGGAAGGGGGCGGGGCGAAATTTTTAAATACACTTGTAGCAGTGTGATATCACATGAGTCTGGAAACCAAATTTGGTTACCCTAACTCTTATAGTCTCTGAGATCCAGGCGCTCAACAAGACGGACAGACGGACGGACGGACGGACGGACAGACAGACATGGCTATATCGACTCGGCTATTGATGCTGATCAAGAATATATATACTTTATGGGGTCGGAAACGTTTCCTTCTCTGCGTTACACACATCCACTTTTACCACAAATCTAATATACCCCTTAACTCTTTTTTGAGTACGGGTATAATAAAACTAAAAACGCAGTATCGTAGAGAATGACCATATCTACCAGATTGTCGAATCATAATTATAGCCAGAATGAAGAAATTCATTTTCAGTTGCTTCCCCTGCCCCTCCTGCCAACAACCAAGCAACTCATTTTCCTTCTCGCTCGCACACTCTGCCGCGTTCAGTGCGCGAGCAACCCCTAGCGGAGGAGATGTAGAGTCTAAATGGTACATGTATAATCTACATGTTAGATGTAGAATATACATAATACATGTAGATAACAGATGTAGCAAAAAAATGTAAAATGTAAATTTTTTTTTTTGAATTCTAAAATTCTAAAAAATCATATGCTCAAAAATGTATATATTGACTGAGTACGGGTATAAGTAGAGTCGCGTCCCCAAAAGCGACTCGCACGTTCCTTCTCGTTTTATTTCATATTAAAGAATACATTTTACTAAAGCTTATAGCTACTACATTTGCTCAGCAGATTTTCTTAATGACCTCTTCTTTTTTTATAAAATAATGTGTTATATCCTCATCGACTTCTGCCTTATCTTCCAACGGCAACGAGTTGAGCATGGAATCCCAGTATGCCAAAACAGGATTCACCTGCTGATCGACGAATTTTCCGAAAATATCACAAACATGGGATGCACATGAGGAATTTTTTGGCGGAGATCGCTTCTTTGCTTTCCTTTCCTGTGAAAAATAGTTTAGGAATTAAAAATTACGTTTTTAACTAAGTCGAGGTATTCTACTTACATAAGAATACGTTGAGCTACTGAGATCATCCAGCTCCTTCTCTAAATCCTTCTCGCCTGCGGCCCACTGTGTCTCCAAATACGAGGTGCCGCATACTGCAGCGTCATCCAGCCGGCTGAGCTGCTCTCATCCTTGGGCAAGAAGTCGAAGGCAAACGTACGCCTATGTGCAGAAATGTCGGGCAAGAATGCCATGTGTGGAGCAAACATCCAATCCTCACCGTCATTCGCCACTGGGTTCTGCATTTGGATCCCTCCTGCACTACCACTCTTGCTCCTGCTTGCCGACTTTATATGGTAGCGGTAGCTGTCCTTCAAAGATTTCCAAGCCATTTTGCAAATAGTCACTGTAAAAAAATTCTACTATCAATAAATAAATAACTGACCTAAATTATATTTACCGTCCTTGATTATTTCTCTAGCCACAGAATCCCAAGCATTTTTGGTTGCTATGGAGTCGAAATGTTTTTTATTGACCAGGTCCCATATCACTGGCCTTTTCTCTACCGACTTTATTAAAAGTAGTTTGCACTCCTGTGAGAACTCGGCAAGCCGCTTGTTTTTTAATATCTTTCCCTCCATATTTAAAGTCTGTGTGTTGTGTGTGTTTTTGTGTCATGTCATTTGTCATTAGACGACGGAAAATGAAATATTTCAATGTTCCGATCGAGATGGGAAAATACCATCGGTTTCTTTTCTAGTATGTATCGAATGTAATTTTTTCGGAACTGAGTACCGGCACTAACCAGTTGTATGTATGTATGTATGTATGTGCCAGTTCATACAACGAAAGGGGCGCAGCTGAGCTTGCAGCGAACGTTCCCAGATCTTCGGCTTTGGGAATGGCCGCGTTGGGCTCATGACGTCACACGAGCCGACTGGCAGCAAGCATGCATGTGTTGTGTACGTGTACACTCCAAAATATATGATTGTGTGCATAGAATAATTTTTAGCTGCCGAAACCGACTTTGTTCGAGATTTCAGTTTACGTAAACGTGTGTGTGCCATGTATTCACACATACTGTGCTTGTGTGTGGGCTCTACAATTTTTTGCCGCTTGAATTGGTTTTTCGTTTTGTTTTGAGGGCTGATGTGATGTAGCGACCTATTCAGGGCCGGATCAACCCTCAACCGGGCCCTGGGCAACCATCAATCTGGGGCCCTCCTTTATTTTGTATTTTTCTCAGTGGCTATTATATATTTTATTCATTATTTGGAGTTTTGTTTTTTCAACAAAATTGGTGTGTTATTTCTAGGAGGGCCCTAGGCAACTGCTAATCCGGCCTTGAACCTATTCCCTTTTCTTCGCCTTATGAAGAAATAGTGTAATGCAATAGTGTGACCGTAGTGCAGGCCAGGAGCAGTAGACTGGCTGCTGTTCAGCCTGATTAGCAAGAAGGAAGTGCGGCCGCCCATCGCAATAGATCCCAAGACCGACTCAGGATGGCTGAACCGCATCAGAGGGTTGCCCCATCGAGAATCCACTTTTAGGTCGGATAATAAGTGGAAGTACTAGGGCGTGTGTCCAATCCAATACGCGATCCACCGGGTGCTCGAACTTTGTCTTGATTTTGTTATTTTGGTATTGGTTTGAACTACAATAGATTGGCATTTTTATGCTAATAAACTGCCCCCAATGTACGAAATATGCAGTGTACAGAGCATAGCACACACATAGTACACAAGCCATGTAGCATGTACAGCATATGTAGCATATGCTGTATATATACTTCTATGTACTACTTATACTCCTTTATATTATTTTCTTTTTAGATATGGATCCAAACAGGAAGAAGGGACAAGGCGCTATGGGAGCCCGAGATTTTCGGCGCGCCTTTATGCAGAGTGTGTCAACTAGTATGGAGCTGTCACGGGCGCACGCCATTCAGCAGGAGTTGCTCCTGGCCATGATGCCTGGACGTGGAGGACGTGGAGGACGTAGAGGACGTGGCCATGGCCGAGGTCGTGGAGGACGCCGGGCCCCGTACGTGCCGCAGGACCTGGTGCCGCAGAACCTGGTGCCGCAGGACCGCAGGAAGTCAATATCGTCAATCTGATCGATTTCGACGGCGAAGGAGAAATTGTGGTCGTGGAGAGCGACGGAGAGCAAAAATGACTTATAAAAATAAAAAAAAACGAGAAGGAACGTGTGAGTCGTTTCTGGGGACACGACTCTACTTATACCCGTACTCAGTCAGTATATACATTATTGAGCTTATAATTTTTTAGAATTTTAGAAAAAAAAAAAATTTACATTTTACATTTTTTTGCTACATCTGCTATCTACATCTCATCTACAATGTCTATTCTACATCTAACATGTAGATTGTACATGTTCCATTCATATTCTACATCTCCTCCGCTAGGGGTTGCTCGCGCACTGAACGCGGCAGCGTGTGCGAGCGAGAAGGAAAATGAGTTGCGTTGTCTGGAACGGGAGGGGGAGGGGAAGCAACTGAAAATTAATTTCTTCATTCTGGCTATAATTATGATCCGATCTGATTCAGATTCGGCAGTCTGGTAGATATGGTCATTCTCTACGATACTGCGTTTTTAGTTTTATCGTATCTTTAAAATTGTGCCTGCCACAGATTTTCGTCCTTTGTGGGGGCGGAAGGAGGCGGGGCGAAATTTTGAAATACACTTGTAGCAGTGGGATATCACATAAGTCTGGAAACCAAATTTGGTTGCCCTAGCTCTTATAGTCTCTGAGATCTAGGCGCTCAACAAGACAGACAGACGGACAGACGGACAGACAGACATGGCTATATCGACTCGGCTATTGATGCTGATCAAGAATATATATACTTTATGGGGTCGGAAACGTTTCCTTCTCTGCGTTACACACATCCACTTTTACCACAAATCTAATATACCCCTTAACTCTTTTTTGAGTACGGGTATAAATATAAAACTAAACCTTGTATATTGTTTTTATTTATAATTTTTAAAATATAGCGCACATATGTGTGTATATGTATATGTATATTTTTACCGTTACGGCATGTATGTACATATGCATTTTCGGCGAAAATATACTGAATACAATACTGACGAGAAGGAACGTGTGAGTCGCTTCTGGGGACGCGACTCTACTTATACCCGTACTCAGTCAGTATATACATTTTTGAGCTTATGATTTTTAAGAATTTTAGAAAAAAAAAAAATTTTACATTTTACATTGTTTTGCTACATATGATATCTACATCTACAAATACAATGTATATTCTACATCTAACATGTAGATTGTACATGTACCATTTATATTCTACATCTCCTCCGCTAGGGGTTGCTCGCGCACTGAACGCGGCAGCGTGTGCGAGCGAGAAGGAAAATGAGTTGCGTTGTCTGGAACGGGAGGGGGAGGGGAAGCAACTGAAAATTAATTTCTTCATTCTGGCTATAATTATGATCCGATCTGATTCAGATTCGGCAGTCTGGTAGATATGGTCATTCTCTACGATACTGCGTTTTTAGTTTTATCGTATCTTTAAAATTGTGCCTGCCACAGATTTTCGTCCTTTGTGGGGGCGGAAGGAGGCGGGGCGAAATTTTGAAATACACTTGTAGCAGTGGGATATCACATAAGTCTGGAAACCAAATTTGGTTGCCCTAGCTCTTATAGTCTCTGAGATCTAGGCGCTCAACAAGACAGACAGACGGACAGACGGACAGACAGACATGGCTATATCGACTCGGCTATTGATGCTGATCAAGAATATATATACTTTATGGGGTCGGAAACGTTTCCTTCTCTGCGTTACACACATCCACTTTTACCACAAATCTAATATACCCCTTAACTCTTTTTTGAGTACGGGTATAAAAATATATATATATGGAAAATATACTGAAAAATTAAGAACACAGAATACGGGAAATATTATTATTATTATTATACAATTATTATTATTATTATTCAATTATTATTAATTCATTTCTAGCAATTTCAGGGTATTCGAGGTTGCGTGGTTGCATTCCCGGCGTGCCTCGGCAATGCTCTCGTTCCACCAGAACACTGGTTGGTGGTGGCGCCCTTTTGGAATTCTTTGCGCTAGATGGATGGCTGTGCAACGTACTCTGCTGAGCCAACCCGAAAAGTCTCAAAAGATTGTGGCTGCCTGTTGTTCGCTGCACAACTTCTTAATGCGCACAGGTCCCAAAACATATGCCATTAATGAAGATTCATTAATTCAGGCGCACACTGTATTGGCCGATCTCTGGCCCTGTTGCCGCGGTCGCCCTCCGGACTACAGCAAGGCAATAAGAAATAATTTAAAAAATTATGTCAACAGCCCTGCCGGGTCGGTTTCTTGGCAACATGAAGCTGCTGGCGTTCAAAACATTATAAATTAGGAATGTTAATTTTTATACCCGTACTCAAAAAAGAGTTAAAGGATATATTAGATTTGTGGTAAAAGTGGATGTGTGCAACGCAGAGAAGGGAACGTTTCCGACCCCATAAAGTATATATATTCTTGATCAGCATCAATAGCCGAGTCGATATAGCCATGTCCGTCTGTCCGTCTTGATGAGCGCCTAGATCTCAGAGACTATAACAGCTAGAGAAACCAAATTTGGTTTCCAGACTCCTGTGATATCACACTGCTACAAGTGTATTTCAAAATTTCGCCTCGCCCCCTTCCGCCTGCAAAAAGAACGAAAATCTGTGGCAGGCACATTTTCAAAGATACGACGAGAAGGAACGTGTGAGTCGCTTCTGGGGACGCGACTCTACTTATACCCGTACTCAGTCAGTATATACATTTTTGAGATTATAATTTTTTTGAATTTTAGAAAAAAAAAAAAAATACATTTTTTTGCTACATCTGTTATCTACATCTACATATACTATGTATATTCTACATCTAACATGTATATTATACATGTACCATTTATATTCTACATATCCTCCGCTAGGGGTTGCTCACGCACTGAACGCGGCAGAGTGTGCGAGCGAGAAAGAGAATCAGTGGTTAGTTTTCTTGCCGGAGGGGGCGGGGAAAGCAACAGAAAATTAATTTCTTCATTCTGGCTATGATTATGATCCGATCTGATTCAGATTCGGCAATCTGGTAGATATGGGCATTCTCTACGATACTGCGTTTTTAGTTTTATCGTATCTTTAAAATTGTGCCTGCCACAGATTTTCGTCCTTTGTGTGGGCGGAAGGGGGCGGGGCGAAATTTTTAAATACACTTGTAGCAGTGTGATATCACATGAGTCTGGAAACCAAATTTGGTTACCCTAACTCTTATAGTCTCTGAGATCCAGGCGCTCAACAAGACGGACAGACGGACGGACGGACAGACAGACATGGCTATATCGACTCG